GCAAGGATTATTATTATTAAGAATGAGATCAAATATGTCAAAGGCCCTTCTTTATCCAAACCTCTCTCATGAATGTTGTAAACATTGAAGTGATGCAGCCTAGAGCTGTGTTTATTGAAAGAGATGGATTAGCAAGACATCTAATGATTTAAATGGGCCAGTTTAACACAAACCGAAGGGTCAATCCTTTTTTTTAAGATGGTTGGCATATTAAAATTCATTTGGAGAGTACCTCTTGTGAAATATAAGAGGAAAATGTAATAAGTATCAAAGATCTGGATGAATGAAAAAAATAATCAACAATAATAATCATTGCTTTTTGTATAACGTCTTATCATGTTGGATGGACGTCTCAAAGTGCTTCAGAGGATTTAATGTAAAATTGAGTGACTGTGTAATTTGCAGGCAAATGTGGCAGCACCTTCAGGCACACCAATGTCCCATAAACAGCCATAAAATGAATGACCAATTCTATTTGGGGGATTGTTAGCCAGGACTCAGGTGAAGCTCCTTTCTCTTATTGAATAGTGCCGCAGGATATTTAATGTCCTCCTGAACAGGCAGACAGGACCTCAGTTTAACATCTCATCCGAAGGACAGCACCTCCAAAAGTGCAGCATATCCTCAGCACTCTATTGGCGTGTCTATGTTAGTTCAAGTCTCGATGTGGGACTTGAGCCAACAACCTTCTGACTCAGAGGCGAGAATGCTACCACTGAACCAGCCTGACACCACTGACTTATCTCGGCTAGTACAGAATAGCTGGTCTTACTCTGACACCTTCCCACAAGTTGAGTACAGAGTAGATTGGTTTGACTATTCTACTTCGACCACAATTCAGTTCCCAACAATATGTCAAAACATTGTTGCACAGGTAGAAAATGCTTCTTTTGACAAAGCAACAAGGTGCAATTAATCTCTGACCTAATTTTCCCGAGCTTGTTCCTGACTCACTCTATTACTGCTTTTATATTACATTGTGAGGCCAATGCCCAAGTGAAGGTGCTGACACTTAAGTGTCTCTTTTTTGTACAGCTGCAGCTTTTTTATTTTAAAACCCCGGGGTTCCCAGTTTTTCATTCCGCACACCCAGCAAACTCATGTTAAATCGAGCAGCAAAAATGTGATCTGATAACATGAGCAGAGTTATTAACTTGAGGTGATGGCATCAAAGAATATCTAAACACTGAACTGAGTACAATGACTTACCTCCTGTTTCTATGGGGCATCTCTATAATAAAAACAACTAACTCACTATTCAGGCTATTGTCAGCACTCAGAAGGGTACTATATAAATTCATATTGGTGGTTGTGATAGCACTGAAACCCCAAATTGATTTCTGCGTGCACTTCATTAATGTGCCAGTTTATTGACTGCTGCTAATGGGGAATTTCATTCTGTATGGACTTGTCTAATGATGGAACACATAATGACAATAATTTTACAATCCTTATCCTAAGGTACATTGAATTTCATGTCAGAAGAACATCTCAAAGCAATTCACAAGATTTTTACTCTAAAGTGGTAATAATGTATTTCTGTGCAAATTGCACCCAATTTGCCCGCAACATGTTCCACATGCAGCCATGAAGTGAATGAACAATTTTATTTAATGGCTAGAACATTGGAGAAACTCCCTTCTGTTTTTGAACAGTGCCACGGGATTTTTAATTTACTTCTTAATATGCAGGTAGGGCTTCGATTTAATGTCTCATCCAAAGGACAGCACCTCAAACTATGCACCACACCCCTAGTACAGCATTGGAGTGTCAGTTTAGAGTTTATAAGTTCCAAGCCCCAACATGGAGACTGAAACCACAACCTTCTGAATGAGTCAGGCTGACACACATTTTGTGTATACAGTACTGCAAAGGCATGCGCTTGATTTCACATAATGTTTTGTCACATTCTTTAATGCTCTTAACACCTGTGATGAAGAGCTGCCTGATTATTTGTTGTGTTCTTCATAGGTATTATACACACACACAGGTCTACGTAAAGGATATACATAAACTGTGAGTGTATGCAGAATTGTCTAGTAATGCCATTTGTAGCCTCAGGGACAGATTGTCACCTGATTCTGAGCTCAGTCACGTGCTAGGATTTCAGAATTAGCTATGCATTTATTTTTGGGTTCTTCTGCCATTTTGCAGCAAATTTCTTTCTGATAAACTAGGTGGCGTGCCTAAATGGTCTAGGTGAAAATTCAATCATTGTTGCCTCTGTGCACATAGTCCCATAGAGAGTATTCAATTTAAAGCTGATGTTTAGATGATTTTTCATCTCCTTAGGGGAGAGGTAAGCAGGGTCTCCTTGGGGCTGAGCTGACATCAAGGTGACGTGCTTGGCAACAGAATGTCAGAATCGAGTAAATCCTTTGTGACAGTCTCGGTAGTTCAGTTCCTAAGCCAGACGGGACTGCAGTACTCTATGGTACTGCTGAGGACAGACCAGCCAGCCTGGCTCATCAACCGGACTTGGAGAGGCAGGGCTTTCTCCCACTCAGCTCCTGTTAACTCTGCAAGCCGAAGCCCTAACGGCTAGGGTGGTCCTGGCTGGACAAGCAGTGGGAAGGTTGCCAGGCATTGCTCTCAATGGCAAGCTATGCGGTTTTAGCAGGTTAGGTTCCTGCAGTACCCCAATGCACACTCTAGGGTCCCCAAGCTTTTCTCTTGCCAACCAGAGCCTAATACTGTCTGGAATTAGATAAGCAGGATGTGTCTCTCCAAGGGAGAATGTGCATTCCATTCCAAATACTGGGATATTTCCAAGTGTCGATGACATCCATACGTGGAACTCTGTCTGGTTCAGATACTCTTTAGCACAGTGATGGGTTTGTGTATGTGTCAGACACCTGAATGATCAAAGCATAACTATATTAATTACCTAATTGTGATATCATGTCAAATAATGACAGAAAGCATGTCTTTAAAATATCCTGGATGCAGGCAATAAATAGTAAAGTATTATTCTTAGAATGGTGATAAATAATTCTTACTGGTTCATACATAATAATAAATAATCCTTGCATTTGATACAGTGCCCTGTCATATCATCAAGTCTCAAACCGTTTCACAGGACACCACGTGGCTATGTATTTTGGGGGCGAATGTGGCAGCCAATTTATACATAGCAATGTCCCAGAAGAGCCATGGAGTGAATGCCCAATTATAATAAGAATCCTCACATTTATTATTTTTAATTATCGATAACTGTGGAGTATATTATATATATTATATGGTTAAACTAGTGTCCTGCAAACCCTGCCTCCAGTGCAGGCAAGAAGTGCAATTGCTTCCACAAGTCAACTTCAGACCAAGCCATTCTGAAATACTTTGGGAGTCACACCCATTGCCAGTCTTGTTATGGACTGGCATTTATCAACAATGTGATAGTTAACGCATTACAACTTGTAACTTTTGCTTGGTTGATCCAAAACACTTGCATAACAAAAGAGTTTAATAATTTATTGCATTTTTTCAGCACAATTTCATTTTATGTTGGCTTGTATCATGTGATTTACTGACTTTATGCCGTAAATTAAACATGAGCCAGAAAACATCTCCCAAACCTGGTCTCTATAAAAGGAGATTTTGTTTTGTGGAGCACACACCTCGTCCAGAGTTATTGCTTGGTGAAATAAAGGTTAACAGGAGCTTTCCGATCTATTTTCCCAAGTTAAGACTGAAAACTTTTTTTAAAAACTGATTCAAAGGGACAAAGCCTACAAAATGCTCAGTCAAAACACATTGCAGTAAAATCCTGCAAAGCGCTTTGAGATATCCTTCTGACGTGAGAGACACTATATCAATTGCAAATACAAGGACAGTTTTCCTTATTTCTAAGCCCAGCTTAGGTTGATAGTATTCTCGCCTCTGAGTCAGAAGTTTATAGAGGTTCAAGCTCACATTGGGACTTGAAATTCATAACAGTCTAAGCTGACACAGCAATGCAGTGCTGGGGGAGTGTTGCATTGTTGGAGGTGGCGTCATTCGGATGAGATGTTAATCTAAGTCCCCATCTGCTTGTTCAAGTGGATGTTAAGAATCTCATGGCACTATTCGAAAAGAGAAGGGAGTTTCTCCCAATGTACCAGCCAACAATCAATCTCCTCCCAAAAATTGTTCATTCACTTTATGGCTATTTGTTGGAATTGCTGTGCGCAACTTGGCTATTGTGTTTGCCAACAAAACACACAATTACTTCACTTTACATTATATATCCTGTGAAGCATTTTGGGACATCCTCCTGCGTAAAAGACACTATATCAAGTGCAAAGATTACTATTATTTATATGGAAATGAGTATTCAGTTGGAGTATTCCAACTAACCGATTAGTTATCTTCTCTTTCAAATACAAAATGTCTGTGGATTTATACTCTTTTGGCAAAGTCAAGTCTGTCATTGGACATTGACCAGAATCCTCCATACCACAAATTGCAAGATCAATGATGATACAGTGTGGCTCGTTGTAATATGTTTATTTTTAATGCGGATTCTTCAGATACTTGCCCCACCTGATCACTGCGATCTTCTATGGCCCTGACAGCGCTCCCCCGTCCCCTCCCATCCCCTCCACTCAGCAAACACCAGTCTGCTTCATATCCCCAACACATTCCAACCAATCTTTGGCAGGTGAGCCTTCAGCTATTTAGCTCCCACTCTCTGTAACTAGAGTCTCTCTGCCTTGCTCCGGCAAGCTTCCTTATAAACCCAACTTAAAATAGTTTCAATGGTGTTTTCGGCCACTTTTCCCCTCTCCTGAATTCCCTTCCCCCCTCCCCCAACTCTGGCTCTTTGTCAGTTGTGTGAAGTGCTTTGAGATATATAATATATATTAGGAATATATATTACTTCAATTATAAAAGTATTGCAAAAGCAATATTGAAAGCTTACTCCTTTCTGATATGCAGAGTGAGTCTGGTCAATTTGTACTTCTTCATAGTAACTAAAATTATTGTACTTACGCACTAATTGTGAATTGTTTTGTTTTCCTCAGATTACTATAACCCACAAGAATCAGGCTCCGATGTTGACAGCTCCACCTCCCAAGACTGGCTTCTTTTCTTCAATCATCAAGCGAACTAGAAGCTAAAGGAAAAGCATAAAATAGGAGAAGAATTAAATCAGTTGAGCTGTGCAGTTTTCTCTCAGTCTTACATCAAGGACGAAGATGGGAGTAGAGGCAGAATTTAACTGCAGAATTGCACTATTCAAAATAAAGGGTACATCATTCAATCTCACAGTTGCTACACTGTGACTGAATGCCAGAATTAAACCATGAAGGTTACTGTTGGCACATGTAGTTTTGGTCTGCAGTTTACGCATGACGGCATTTATCTTTTATGGCATTGATTCAAGCTGCATGAATTGCATTTAGGATTTAGGAAGGTCTGCACTCCCAGTTTTTCACTTTTTGGCCTTAGTTGGGAGACTTTCTTGGCTCAAAACCATTAAATTCAATTGACGTTTTCTTGTGATTAGGGCGCAGGGTTAAAGAGACAATGATTCCTGTCATCAGCCTACAAAAACAAGTTACATGAAGCATCTTATTAAAATCTTACTACTAAAAAAAGTGTAAATACTCCATCTAAGTTAGTAATAGCATACCTTTGAAATTCTACAGTTACTGCATCCATTATTTAAACTTCTAAATGCATGAATTCACACTTTCACTGTTTTGGGCAAATTTATGTTTCTTCCACTTTCGATGGCTCCTTTTTGCTATTGGCGGCACGGATTGAATCTCAGCCATGTTGTTTTTGTTCAGCGCATGGCTTTTTGTTCACATGGAAAGAGGGTTAAGGGTTAACCCTAACCCAAACAGTTAGGCAAATTATAAAAATATGCTTTTAGTTTGTTGTCTTCTATTGATCAATGATGCTGCCCCCCTGCCCGATTCGGTCTTTTTGCAAGCAAGCTAACCTTACCTTTTTCACCTTGCAAATCGAATGCTATCAACTTTTTCTGATTGACTAGTGAAAAACATTGCTCAAATGTGGTGTATGCATCTTTTGCAGTCTGCATGGATTATTCCTGTGTTTATTGATGCCCACTGTATTTACTACAATTATTGGTCGCCAACTGGAATACGGAAATTAGGAGCAGGGTACATTAAACTGCACTGAAATTGAGTCAGTTTGTACTGTATTGAAGTGTCAGTTGTGCAACCTTTGATAACACATCAAAAATTCTATCTTAATTTTTTTATGCAGGCTAAGAGGTGGGATTTTTTGCATTTTAATTTTACTTGTGAATCCATGTGCTCAAGGTGATTTTGGCACCCAGGCTCAAGCATAACACACAGCCAACTCAAACTTAATTTACACTCTATTAGTGCATTGGTTCAATATAAATCTCAATGGAAAAATTCTGTATCAACTATTCTGTCTGAAAACTCATACCCATGCACGAAACTCTTATAAGACAGGTTGGCAGATCTGTACAAGTTCAGACCAAATTACCTTATGATGTGGAGACAATCAAATACTTAATCCACCAGAGCCTAAGAAAAGAAGTTTCCTTCGTACATGCCTTTATGAAGGAAACACAAATTTGAACACTTGTTCCCAGACCAGAGTCCCAAATTTAATTTAGTCTTTAAAGAGAATTTAACATTGTGCAGAATGGTGGAATATGTCTTAAATTCAGTCTATATTTTGGAGCTGTTTTTTGCTAAGGTTATTTAAAAGAACTGTCTTCCAAATTAAAACTGAGTTTAAAAATTTTCCACGATTCTAAGCGATCTTAGATTTCAAGGCATTATTGTCACATAGGCACTCTATTGTCACTCTGTGCAATTTCAGGCCTGAGATGCGTTGATTCCTGAGATGCTGTCACTTCAAGAAGCTTACCTTTTAGCGACAAGTTGTTACTGCTTTCAGTCAGTCATTGGATATAAGACTCTAGGAAGATATTCAGTTATTCACTGAGGGCCAGATTGATGTGCCCCATTCTAAACCATAGACCTTAGTCAGTACAAAAATGGGGGAAGTGGGGAGGAAGCAACTGAGTGAAACCTGCAATGTGTTTGATATTACCAGTGATAAATATCACATTTAATGAATGTGGTTGAGACTGTGGATGACCAAAACCTATCCACGGGTATGATTCCCCTCTCCACCCCGACTTCATGACAATGGTTCGTCCTGAAGCCAGGGAGTTGGAGTGGAAGAGGAAGAAGTGTAGACACAGAGCATTATTTCATTATCAAAGTGTCTGAACTGCATTGAACAATATAATAATTATTATTGCTGATTACCACTGATAATAATGAACAACTGACTAACGCTAGTTGCAAATCAATTTATGGCTCTCTTATATTAGACCTTTTGTGAACCCTTACACTTTCAGCACAACTTTTTCTCAAATACATATGTATTCCTTAATTCTGTTGCGGGCGATGGAAGTCAAGGATGTATACCTTAATTTTTCTGAAATGTTGACAGAATAGCATCAGTGGTTTGTTTTGAAGATAGAACACCCTTAACTAGAATAGCAGATGATATTTCAAAATGTGTTCTGTGATTATGCTAAACTTGGAGATTTTGTTGTAAGATATCTGCATGACATGTTGTGCAAAATATTCTTCGTGACTTGATATACTGTAAAATAATATGTCTTTCTCATTGGTTTTCCTTGACTTTGATTATTGATTTGAAGTCGTTGGGCACTTCTCTCATTTAAAAATGTAGAGTTCATTGCTGCGTTCTCCTGCCTGGAACCTTTTTTTTAATTCCTCGTGATGGGTATTGACCACATGTTATTGCACAACACAGCAAGTTTCATCAGGACTAGTCACTATTCATTTCTGCTAAGGAGAGCTGATGGATAAGGCATTCCAGATACATAAGTGAGCGCTTTGCCCAACTAGCTTCAGAGCAGTGAGAGTGACTTTCCCCTTTTATGTTATGACAACTGGTTCATCATCTGCTCAGAGAAGCAGCCCTTCCTTTCTGCAAATTTCCCTTTGAAGTCATCACAAACAGGCAACATTATTTATATTCTCTTGGGAAGAGTGAGGTGGGGGGGTACTTGGAGGGAAATCCATGCTGGACTAATGTACCATTACAGATATATTAGGTGCATGTTATAGAACTGTGTGATCAAAGTGTAGCCAAGGTTTTTTAAAAAAGAGTACCAATAAATTAAATTGTATGGTTAGTATTTCGGAAATGTATTTATTCATGGTTAGATTTATGGGTTGCACAATTATCAGTGTCTTTGATACATAGTAGGTAAGAATCAAAATGCAAGGTTTATATTATAATGATAATAACCCTTGTATTTGATACTGCACCTTATTGCGTCTTCAAAAAACATCTCAATAAACATGGCGGGAGGGTCATTCTCTGATCAATGATAAAACTTGCCAAACTTGGTGCGCAAGTGAATGCATCTTGTTCTGCAATGGTTGTCAAATAATTTATTGATTTTAACCATGTGAGTTTACAATGGAACAAATTGATTTATGTACGAAATTGCTTCCAAAAATGTAATTCTATTCAAGGGAATCTAACTTGCAAGATTCACAAAAATATTTTTAACTATCAAATTCTGTAGGAATCTGAATATGTGTCTCTCTGGAACTCTGCATGAATTGGACTCCATTGTGAATTGAACTTTCTGATCATGGTACAGGGAAGTTTCCGTTGCCTATCAGGAGATTGAAATTCTCTTTACAAATCTCACAGATTAGTGCATCAATGGGATAGAATTGCACTGTCAAAATGTCCCCAGTGAATTAGCTGATTTTGGTTGATTGATTCCTGATCACTGTTCAATAACCTCTCACCTATGTGTGTGTATGTATGTATGTGTGCGTGTGTGTGTATCTTGTCTGTCTGTATGTATGTATGCTGGTGAGAACTGGATACATGCCTCCCCTTTCCCCCGTCATTACAGACAAATTGCCTGCCAACAATCACTGTCTATTTATGCAAATGAAGAGTGGTTACTTGGTGAGGTATCAGTCGGGAAACCAAATTCTAGTGAGTTGCCTACAAGAAACACAGTTGGGTAGCAATTCCGCCTGGTTCTATATTTCCTCTATTTATGGGCGTGCAGACTTGACAAATTGTTGATTAAGTCCTAAGTAGGGTTGGTTTTCTATAGTTTTAAAAAGGTCAGAAATCCAGCTTTAAAATTAAGATTATGGATGATCTAAAATTCTTTGTCAATGGAGTGAAATTTCTCCCCAAGCATTTCTTATGCTTTGAGATTCATACTGGATTGGACATTAACCATCGAATAACATTTGAATATGTTGAAATACAACATAAGCTAGAAGAATGACCTTCACTATTGCTTTGAACACGCTTCTGATTACTGCACAAAGTTCTCAGTTGGTATATTCATTTATGGTTATTTTGTTTGGGAAATATGAAGGATCCCATCCCAAAAAGATCCAGTCCTGCCTTCACCTTGCCTACCATCTGCACAGCACAAAATGAAACATTCCTTCTCTCTCTTTCATAAGTCACTGAGTTCCTTAGTCTTGCTTCTTAGACACCATTGCTGGATAAACTTTACAATTATTGCTGCAGAGTGGACACATCCATGTTACTGTATAAATAACTCTGAAACCAAAGGTCTTAAGACAATATCCATTAAATTAGTATTTTTGGTGTTAGTTTCAGTTCCATTCATGTTGAATTGAGTCCAAGGTTTAAACATTTCAGTATGTGATCTAGTTATCACCTACCATATTTTTCATCCCAAAACATGTAATGCCAACTAGTTGGAATTTGCCAATTATGCGGTTGTAATACTACAAACATGGAACTCAATTCTTGGTAGATTTCTACTTTGATTAGAGGTGCCCAGTACCACGGAACCATCCCATAGAAGGAAAAGAAAGCTAAGAAAAGGTGAGAAGATAAAATTGGGGGGTGGGGGTGAGGGGGGTGGGGAGGAAGGATAGAATAAAAGGCTGGAATTGCTCCAGTATCCAGAACCAATAGATGAGCCAGAAATCAACGTTCTCCTCTGCACTTTTGCTGGTGGTTATCTCCAGAAATCACTGCTCAGAGATTGTCCTTAGGGACCTCTTTCCTTGTTTAGAATCCTAATAACTAGCATTGAGGAGAGTTTAATCCCACCAATCTGGGCTAGTTTTAAACCTGGGTTCCAGAGATGAAAGAACATTATGCTGACTTAACTACCAATTCCTCTATTGCTCCAGCTTCTATTATTTTTTCCATAATGGTGATAACATTTACCACACAATTAATGTGCTGATTGCTGATGCTTCTGTGGAACTAGGGGAAAAAATCCTACCAGGGTCTAAACTTAGACTTTCTTCTTACCAATTTGGAGCAATCAAATTTTGGTTCATTCTTAAATCCAGTCCTAATTTTGAAGCTGGGTAAAAAGAACCTAGAGAAAACTGGCTTCAAAATTGAGACTGAATTTAAGTGTTGTCCCACATTTTATGAAATACTAAGAAAAAGGATCTCTGAGTCTACACCCGGTGGAATTACTTCTCCTGGTATCTAGTTTTTATACATTTATGTTGTTGGCATATACTCTTCACTGTGACTCAGGCTTATTCTTTACAAAGATAAAATGAATCAGTCTTATAACAGGATTTCTAATTGTAAGAACACATACAAAAAAGGCTACAGGTAGCTAATAATGCATATTTTTTTCCATATGTTTCAGTTTAAGATATAGAACTGTAGTATACTACATTATTAACTACAGCCAAACGAGTGTGAAACACAGAGATTTCAAATGGTACTTCTTAATGGAGGAATGCAAGTTGGGAATCCTGATAACCAGAAGTATGTCACACCAACTCATGGGAACTTCACTCTGAAAATAGAGTTGGAGGGAGGGAGTTCTTATCAGTCCCCACAACTTATTTCCTTATTTAGAGAATTCTGTTTGAAATCCCTGTGTTTTAGAGCCATACTTGCACAAAATATTTTCCTAACTCCAGTGGGTGTTTAATGCAAGATAACGAAAACATGATAGTGTGAAAATGACATTAGATTGACAGCAATGTACA